GATACATTGCTATGCTTCGTCATACAAGTTCTTTTATATTGCCTTTTTATAGAAAATATACACTAACGATCGAATTTTTGCTTGATATCAAAAGATTTCTTTTTTTATGTTTAACATTTTTTTTTTATATTTAACTCTCGGAACGCTTTGACTTCTTTACAATTGATTTTCCATCTATTAAAGTATCCGATAAATGATTTGCAATTTTAATATGAAATGAATTTTATCGATTCCTTGATAGAACGTACTTCAAAAGCTTTCGTGCAAAAGGTTTCTTATTAAAATGAACAAGCTATGCATAACAGAAGTTATTAAATTATTAATTGTAAGTAAGAGTTATCTTAAAAGATTTTTTATTAAAGTAAACAGGAGAAAGAGAAAGAGAGAAAGAAAGCCATGAAAGAGCGCGATGGAAAGTATTAAATTATTAATTATAAGTAATATTTATCTATGAATTTTTTACCAATTTTGAATCAATTTTTATGAAAAATTAATTAATCCTTTATTTGTATTCGTAACTTTTTACGTAAACGTTCGAGACAGAGATTGAATATACCTTTGTAATTAAATGTTAAATTAAAATTCTGATAAAGTAAAATTTACATTAAAATTATTTTGCTCCTGTAATATTTCCAGAGAGCTTTTTTTTCAATCGCGCATAAAATAAAAAATTATTATTTCGTTTATTTTCGTTACTTGATATCGAACACCATCCGCTCATTTTCGAAGAAATAAAGTTCTCATTAATCTTATTTTTTAATTCATCTATTTTGTACGATAAATTGTGTTCTCGGTTGCTTCGTCTAATTTTATGAAATAATGAATTTCTCAGTACGATATAAAATCCGATTAATCTTCCCTTTTTTCGGGTGTTACTACTTAAAATCGCGAAGTGCGTCTGATTATGCGTTGACTGTAGCGGAATCCCGCTCACGCAATGTGTTGTGTATTCGCGTTTATACACGAGCATGCATAGAACACATGGATTTCCGCCCATGGCGGAGGAATGAACTTTCTCGCGCATAACTTATGCAAATTAGTCGGCCATTGTGTACGGTTGCTTAAATACATTTACGGATATCACTCGTAAAGCCCTGTTCAGAACGGTATCTTTAACGTGTTTCCTCTAATAGGCATCTCTACGCGCTATAAGATTTTTCTTACGAAGCGCCAAACGCGAACATGTACTTCGCATTGCGTGCTGGTTAACGACGTGCTTAATCTATTTCCATCACGAGTTGGCGTAAAAAATGTATGAAACCACTTACTTTATTTCGATGAGAAAAGATAAAAATATGAATTTTAATGTTAAGTTATTTACGTAATTTGTTTTTTATGGAATAAGAATTATATATAAAAAAGTTATGCTAAAAAAAGAATTTAAAAGATTGGAAAAATTTGTCATAATTTTGTTTTATACAACTCTTAAATTTATATCTTTTCCGTTTAAATACTCACGTAATCTCTTTAATAATCTCTCTCTCGAACATAAAACAAGTATATTACTTTATAATCACGTTATAGTCACACATTCTTTTATATAATTCTTAGCTTTCCATTTTCCATTTAACTATCTGCATGACATTGATGTTTTTATAATCTGTTCGCGATGATTCTATGGGCATAAAATAAAATGCAACGATCGCCATTACTGCTCATCTAAATCGGATTTAACGCTGTCCAGCGTGCATGAGTCGATCATGGCGCGTGGGTTGCACACAGCGAGATCAGCCTGGCGCCTCGAAACACTCGGATCGAGATCCGAACGTGGAGTTACGAGTAATCGAGGTCGTTAGGTTGAGATTGTTACGTGGGCCGCGCAACAATCAAACTCGATAGCGAAGACGCGAATATCGGCAACGCGTGTTCCGCATCAAATCGATGTACCTCTTGTTCGTTATCAATGCGCACTCCAACGTACTTACTCTACAAAGGCCAAATTCTATAGGAAATTCCGTGATGTAGCGATTATCACGTTTGTATTGCACGCAGGAAATTATCGCCGGTTCGATCTTTTGCGTTCAATCACATTCGTGGATAAAGGAACAATTATAGATTGCGATCAACGATAAACGCAATTATGCCTTGTAATAATATATTAATAAAAATAAATAAAAATCGAGATATCATTCATTTTCAAGTTAGGGACAATTGAAAAAGAGAATGTTTTTGCGATCTAAACTTTAGATAAAACCGAATGGATTACGAAAACACATTTCTCAGCTAATTTTAGATAGAATTTACTTTAATGGAATTTTAATTTGAAATTCAATTAGAGATACGTGATGCGGAAGATAGAAGGCGGCGATAAATGATCTTTCTTCGGCAAAAAAACTAATTTTACATTGATCAAAAAAGCTGTTATTAAAAAAATTATGTGTTATCGCAAGAAAGACAATAAGCTCCGAAATTTTGTTTATCGCGTGCGCGAACTCATTCTCATGGCTCTACTCTTTCGATTGCAGATGTCAACGTGACTGGGCCAATTGAGAAGAGTCGTAAGAGATGCCGTAGTCGTCGCTATGAGCGAGAGCCGGTGCTACACGGATTCGCCCGTGCTCGCCGAACATCAGCCCTTCAACCGTAATGGGAAGGCGCTCAGGTACGATTACCATAAATGCAGACCATGGCTAGTGTGCACCCTGCCATCAACCTGCGAGCTTAATCGCCTGCGACAGAGCGAGCGCGTTGATCGTGCCATTGATTTATAGCTCATAATTGAAGAGTATAATTCGAAAACGACCGTCGAGAGACCGCACGATCGACGGTCGTTTCTATTATTTGCTACGCGAACTAATTAAAAAACTTTGATATCGCAATTTCGCAAATGTTGCTAGATATGCGACATATCGTACATTCATTCTTTATTCAAATAGAATTATCCGATTTATAATATAAGGATTATTATATTATTATATTAAAAAGAGTTATATACTCATATATTGTTAAGTAATTTTTTGTATTTAATTTAATTTATTCATCTTTATTAATTTAATTTAATTTAATTTATAATATAAAAAAGAAAATCATATTATTATTAAAAAATTATACATTCTCTCCCCCCCTCCCTTTCTCTCTCTCTCTCTCCCTCTCCATCCCCTTTCTCTCTATTTCTCTCTATTTCTTTCATTTATCTTTTGTTAAGAGTGTATACCTCTGTTTTAAATAATATTTTAAGTAGCAATGATATATCCTTGGACACTTCCGCTATATTTATTGTATCGAAACTTTTTTGAAATTATCACTATCGTAGCATTATCGGTCGATAGCATTGCGAGAAGATGTCCGATAAGATTATCAATCGAATTATGGTCCTCGGCTAATCAGATTATACCGCGGAAGCCTAGCTCCCGTTCGTGTCTCATAAAATGAGCTTAACGCTAAGGTACAGATCCTACCCACGTCTCTTCTCATCGAAGACACTAACAAGGGTTGATTTCAGGGGATCTAAGAAGAGTGTGCTGTTTTATACGACCGACTGTGGAGATGAAAAAGAGGACTTAGGTCTCAAGCTTCAGCAACGATCTGTCTCCTTGGTAAGTCTCGCATTAACGTCAAATCTGTGCCCGATTGTGCGTATCACTCGGTCTTATGTCAATATACGGATAAATCTTTCGATTCGTTCACAATGCACACATACCGTACGATCGAAGTTTTTAGTTAAGAATTTAATAAAAAAATCGGAAATAGTATAATGATTTTGGTAAAATTTTTATAAACGTTCGAATTTATTTTGTGTCTATTAAATAAAAAATTACATTTAATGTAAATTTTTTTATGTTAAAACTATATTTTTACATTAATTTTATGTTAAATAATGAAATTCGTAATGAAAATTCAATTTTTCATTATACTCTTAATTTAATGTTACAATTATAATTTTAATATAATTTATACGCTATAGCATATATATTTGCATTTATGTGTGGCTTGATATAAAGTTCGCGACAATTCTTCCTGCTCGGACCTAAAGAGGCAACTGCGATTTACATTAAGCCTGATGCTCTCTCACTGAATTATCCAGTGCCGTCATTATTCAAT